GCCGGGTACCCATTCCCACCTGGGTGAAGTGAGGAAAATTCGTGTAAAGTGCCTTTCCCAAGGACACAACGTCGGGCCCTTGACGGGATTCGAACCCACGACCTTACGGTTGCGAGTCCGAGAGCCTAACCACTAGGCCACCAACGTTACGATAGCGGCCTTAAACTCACACAATTTCACCTTTTTTATTTCACGTCATCCTTGTTCTCTCACAGTTCAGGGCAGAACGCTAGCGCGGCTATTTTCATATTTGGATACTGTGCGGATGACCCTAGTTCAACTCTACGGTGTATTTTCGGTCTAATATTATTCTCTGAGACTTCCGAGGGGTGAAGGTGGGTGAGGGGGGAGAAGTATTTGGTTTCACCATTACCTAGCCGAACAAGCATTGACATATTTTTTCTTTATCACTTACTCTAGTTTTTCTATCCTCTTGTGTCGCTAAGATATCGACGGGAGGTACATTTTTCGGCCAAGGGCTTGGTTGGTGGCTTCTGTCGTAGATATATAAATCTGTTGGAAAATATAAATGGATGTCGTATCTTGTTTTGATACTCATGTTTTTTTAAATTGATTTATTTATGTATGTATTTGTTTATTTATTGGGGGGGCACAGACAGCCCTCTGCATAAACCTTCTCTTCTAAAGCGTTTCATTGTGTTCTGTGCTTTGTGTAACTTTATAGAGCAAGAACGCCCACTTGTGTCTGACCATCTGAATTTGTGATTACAGATGTTCTTGACGGTAACCTATAGTGGAAGGTGGGCACTTCTGTGTCGTCTTCTTCTTCGTTTTATTCTCTTTGATACCTAATTGCCTGGCAAAACGAAGCTGTTATCGTGCCGATTCTTCACACATTACAGCATAATACAACCCCACAACACTCCTGTATAACTCAGACCTGTTTGTCATGAAAAGCAAACAAGCGAACAAACGAACAAACAGCCCCCCCCCCCCTAAAAAAAAGCAACTGGTGTCAGGCCTTGGTCTGCTTTCAATTTACATAATGAATAATTTTATGTTTTAGAATGAGAATTGGGAACACATTTTGTTTCATTGCACCTTTTCTTCTTGTTGCTTTCAGGATGCCTGTGAAAAGCTCAAAGCCCGGTTGGCCCCATTCGTGAAGAAAAGGCCAAATGGTTCATGGGAAGAGTGGGTCAGTAACCAGACGTTATGTATTGCCACGCTTTGTCTCTAATTGATTATTTGTTTCTATGATAGAGCATGGACGTCAAACGTGACACATGGGTGGTTGGTGGGTGTCCTGGTGTGATTTGCTCCCTCTTTCTTGTCACACATATATCGTCCTTATCCCTCCTCCTTTTTATGTGTTTGCTATGTTCTTACAACTCTTTTAATCTCTGGTACTCATCTTACCTATTTATGCTGCAAGTCCCGTAAAATTCTCACTGAAACTAAAACTACGTGACAAGGTGCAGATATCTTCTCTTAGAACGGCATTCACTGTGGGATTTTATGACAGACTTTCGACCTTCCAAACCTCCCCCATCACGATATTTTCATCCTTGTTAAATTCGGCACGAAGTTCAAGATCAGTAGCTCGGAACAGGCAATCAGAGAGAAAACCGTAATCTGCTGCTAGCCTGCCCCATGCTCGAGGCACTAAGAAGGAAATAGCACAGTGGCCCTACCCTAAGCAGAGTCTTTAAAAACCTATAGGCGTCTGGAGGACCTGCAGTGAACAGCAGCCTTCGCACTAGAGACTGGGATTATGTTCATTTAGAGATGAGTGAGAAGAAAATCCTTACAAAACGTACACAATCGTATGTGCTTCGCCAACAATACGAAGAGTAAAATGTGCTGAATCTACCTAACCTGGAGGTGGGTGGGAGGGGGGGGGTTAAAATTGTGGAAACGTTCTCCTGTATAGCGATTTTGAATGTTGTGCACGATATGGGAAGAATAAAGAAGTTGGACACGCGCCTCTATATGTCGATGAGGGAGTAAAAGTATAATTATTCATACATTTTATATTATATATAGGCCTATACTATATTAAAAGTATATACATATAATATATATATAT